CAGTTGTGTCACTCTGAAATGTTTGACTTAACACCCAATCACAAATATCAAAATTAATTTTAAAACAGAAATATAAAATATGGCAATTGTATAAGAAGTGTACTCAAGTTACTGTATGTGTGAATTGCTTCTTTGGATTAATTTTTATTCATTGACCTGTCTCTGAATCGTTTCTTAGTCCCCACGCACCAGACATTGTAAATTGAGTGGTTGTTTGGATGAGAATAAAGGGCCAACTCTTAAACCTCGCCATGTTTCTGTTGCTTTAAACCATTTCCTATAACTCTTAACTTGAGTCTTTAGCTTGTAGCTGGATCTCTCTAGTTTCCCCCGCTCCCATTCAGATATCAAACAGTATGTTCACAGATTGCTTCCTCTTGCGCTTTCCTGTCACGCAGCTGTTTGGTTGCGAGCCCCCCTCCTGCCACCACCAGAACCCTTCAAGTGTCATCTTCCTCCAGTTTGATCCACAGTCCTCATCCGTCTCTCTCTCTCACAGACCCACACTGCTTACTGTTCTCCCCAAACCATTGAGGGACTGTCATCACACCGACTCAGTGTGTGTCTTTCAGAGGGCGCCTTGTTTTCATGGAGGCCATAAGCCTTCCCATAAATCCTCACACAATGTGGTTTTGTCTGGGCTTCGGATTTTGAGAGCAGGGCCCGGGTGCCTTCGCTGCATCTGTGGGGCTTCTGTCGCCCTGGCTCCACGTGTCTATGTGCCTCTAATGAGGCCTGCTGCCCAACACACACAGAAACGGAGTCATTCACCCTGCCTGCATTCAACTGCGTGCCGCAATGCTGAGCGTCTTACTGCTGCCCTACTCCAGTTAGCAATTATCTGTCTTAAAACGTGTTGCTCTTTCTAGTATATGAATTCATTTTCCAGACATTTTTAGACATGTATTGTGTTTTGGATGCTAGGCCTCAGGATGAGATGCTGGTCTGATGGTGTTCCCACCAGGTTTCTTAACTAGCAAGAATTTCAACCAGCTTCACTAGAAAAATCACCCTGGTTGACCAGCAGTTTTTGATAGTAAACATCATAGCTGTGCTGGACCACTAGTTAAATGAGTGCCAAACTAGCAATTGCCAATGATAAACTTCATATTTTTAAAACTGATTAGTTGGTGGGTTGCTTGTCAGTTAATCTTCTTAAGAGAGTGATGTATAATTAGTAGACTCAGTTAATGGTTTCCTTTCTTATAGGGCGCAAAATGTGACACAATGCACATCAATTAAAGCAACACTGCTAAAATATCTAAACTAAAAATATTTTTACATTTTATTTTTACATTTTATAATCAAATATTAAGAAAAACTATAATATTTGAAAATATGTAATATTTTTTATATATTTTATTTCTTATATTTTTATATTAGTATTCGTACAGCTTCATCTAGTCTAACTGAAGTTTACCCAAAAGTATGCATAAAACAAAGTATACTTTTGGGCTTTAAAGAAACCGTTCACCTAAAAAAAAAAGTCTTATTGTAGTAACTTATATCATTCCAAACCTGTATGGCTTTTTCTTCTGTAGTGCAGAAAATCAGAGCTAAAATCATGTAGTGTGTTGTTGCCGGCATAAGACGAGAAAGGACTTCTCTGACTCTTTAAAGAAACACTTTCGATGTATCCAGAGTAGGTGACTGTGTTCAGGTCAGGAGCGTGTTGAGCTCCCCCCAGAGGCCCCGTCGCTGCCTGATACGCACTGACATGGAGTGTGTGCGTTTGACTGGCGAGGAAAAAAAACACAAAGTGTGCTTAGAGTGTGCCAGTTCACCAGTTTGGTGGTCCTCCTCTGAAGGCTGTTAATTAGTGCAGAATGCAGCCTACAGTTCCACTGCCAGCTCTGATGAAAAGAGAGAGAGAACGGACAGGGAAACGCAGAGATAGAGAGAGAGATCGAGAGTATAAGGCTTGAGCGGCTGCCAAGAGCGAGGAATTTGTGATGGATTTAGAGAGAGATCCCACATGCCTGTGCGGAGTGTGGAGCCTTGTTGCGCTGATGGCTTCTGACCCGGTTCAGTAGGGTTGACTGCACAAAGCGTTCACTTTACTCGGTGAGCGTCATAACATCGGCGCAGACATTTCGGCTCCTTACATCACCGGTTAATATTTCACGCTCTTGCGCTTGACCTCGGCGCATTTCCTGCGCGCACGAGGAACCGTACACCGCAAGGAGGTCAAGCCATGTGATGAGCCTCCAGTCAATGTGTGACCGACCCTGACGGCACAAGAGTCTTGTGAAGGTCGCTCGAGCCAAGCGAATGCGCCCGGCACCAGCGAGAGACATCTGAGAAACATCAAAAGCGCTTCTCACGTGTGGTCCGGGGACGTGCGCAGCCTGGCCTTATTTAACGCTCTCTCTCTCGGTTCGCGTGCACGATGCAAGAGCATGATTTAGCTCTAGTCTCTGCCTGTCACACTCTATTTAAACACTTTTCTGGAGGATACCTGGCCCCAAGTGATCAATTTCAGAACGACCCTCTTGTATTAACTGCAATGTGTTTGGAAAACATTGGGCCTAGTGGCTTTGCTCTTACTCCCACTAATCCGGGAGATATAAATGACTTCTGGCAGTCAGACAAAGGAGTCTGCTTATACTTAAAGGCCATACGCTTTTATCGAAAGAAAGCCTTTACACTCTCGCCCGGTGGCTTCTCTTGAAGGAATAGCAGAGTAGACGTTTGGCAGAGTGAATTGAGGATTCCTCCATCGCTTATAAAAGCAACTTTGCCACCCTGAGGGGCCCTACGGAGGCCGACCACACTGGGGAGATGGTCAGGAGAATGAAAAAGGACATTATGTCATGCCGGTGGGATTCAAGGCCTTCCTGGTTTCCTCAGGCTTATATGGTTTTCACGTCCAAAACGAAGAAATACCGCGACTTTTAAATCTCTATTTTGAACTAACCTCTTTAATAGCATTTAGTGTTCATTTTTACAGTTTTTGTGTTTTTAACAGAATATATATATTTAATTTAGTCGATGTTTTGTCATGTTATATTCATCAATTTTAGCCAATTGTACACAAAAGCTGCCACTGGGGTGGTACCTTTTCGAAAGGTACACTTTTGTACTTTTTAGGAACTAATATGTACACTTGAGGTAATAATATGAACCTTTAAGTAAAACACCACTCATATTTTCTATCTAGATCGAAAATTCGATCTACTGGTGGCAGATGGACTATTTTGACGATGTCTTTCATACTTTTCTGGGCCTTGACAGTGCTATTTACTTGGCAGTCAATGGGACAGTCACAAGCCTCCTGGTTTTCATCCAAAATATCTTAAATGTGTTCCGAAGACGAACGAAGCTTTTACGGGTTTGGAATGACATGGGGGGTAAGTGATTAATGACAAAATTTTCATTTTGGGGTGGAGTAACCCTTTAAAGTAAATATGCTAGGAAACTGCTGTTATGTCCCCACCAGTGTCAATGTAGTAACCCAGATGTTAAGCTATTCTATTGTTCTGAATTTATGTTAAATAGGTACAACAAAGGAAACTGGCCAAACAAAGCACAATTTTTCTCCATTTGTGTAGTTTCCTTCCATCATGGTTAATTTGGGGTTACTGCTGCCCAGTAACAATGCGGTGAAGAATAGAGCAGATGTCACACACTCCATGACATCAAATTCACCCCTGTGCACACACATGTGTCCATGAGGAAGGATTGATTTGTCTTCTGTAGGGATCACACATTTGGAAAGGCATCACACATTTGGAAAAAAAAACCTTGTGTCTGCAATGCAAAAGAAAAAGAAACACTAGACTAACACTGAACAATTTAAAACAACTTTGCTAATGCATGATTGTGGCTATTCATTTGAAGCTAGGCTAGTCATGCTAAAAAAAACTCCACTCACAATGCTTGTCATAAGTCATAGTTATAGATAAAGTCAAGGATCCAAAAAAGACTAATTTTCAACAGATGTGTTTGTCTGTGAGGAACAGTTTCTGGTCTCTCCAGAGGGTGGCTTTTTGTAAGATTTGACGTTTCTTGGATGGTATTTGTGTGTTTTACCAGTTACTAGGCAAACTATGATTCTTGGATGGGCCATGAGATGCTAAATTAAAGAAGACACGTGTCTAGCCCTGTTTTGGAGAATGTTCTGACTAAAACCCCATTCTTTCAGATCCTATTGTGTTTATAACGATTCAGAGAAATGTTATTTACAACTGTGTCACATAATCTGTAAAATTTGATCAATCTCAACCTAAGTAAGAATATTTTCCTGCACTACTATTCTGAACCACTGTGCTAAAACTGCAGAATCATGGCAAAATTTGTTAACATTTTTGAAATTAAATCTTATGTTTACCAAGGCTGCATTTATTTAATAAAACATATAGTAAAACAGTAATATGAAATATTAATTCAATTTAAAATAACAGTTTTCTATTTGAATATATTTTAAAATATAATAGTAATTTATTCCTGTGTTGGAAAATTTTTAGCATCGTTACTTCAGTCTTCAGTGTCACATGATCCTTCAGAAATCATTCTAATATGCTGATTTGATGCTCAAGACACATTTCTTATGTTGGAAACAGTTGTGCAGCTTAATGGTCACTTAACACATTTGATCAATTTAATGTATATTTCCTGAATAAACTTATTTATTTCTTAAAAAAAAAAAAAGATGGTAATATCTCAGTTTGTGAATTTTCACTCTGAATTTTTAGAATTGATTATGATTATTTAAAAAGACAAACAAATATAAGACACCAACATTAAAAAATGATAGCACAACCAGTGTAGTTGCAAGTTTCCGATAGTTTGTGAAAGTTTATTAAATTATAATAAGTGTTAATTCATAATTCATAGATAGCAATAAATGGTATTTATTAAAATAAAACAAAACAAAATAACTATATATTGCAAAATACTTTTTTTAAGTATGTGGTTGCAGGGGTGGCAAAATATAACGTTACAGGTCAGTGTTTCCCACAGAACTCAAAGAGTGATGAGATCTCTGACTGCGTAACTACTGGCCCAGCTGTCTTCATTTCTCAAGGCGCCTTTTCCTCCACCGCTCACATATGACAGTGTTGAAGGTTTTCAGTGAAGTCCTGCCCAGACCTAGAGAGCTGCGTCACACCCAAACACTAACCTGGTGGTGACAGAAGAGGCAAGTCTTCACACTTCGTCCTGTCCCAATGGGGAAATACTGTTCGCTCTCATGAATTAGGCACAGATGCGGTTCGTCTGGCCTAAAACTCTTCTTATATTGCACATTGGCAAAGAGACATTTCCTTCCTTTTCTCATCTTTTTTTCTCCCCTTTGTTCCTCTGTACCCCTAGACTGAAAACGTTGAATGTGTAGCATGCTTATGTCTTTAGTATGCTAGGCTAATGCAGTGTCACAGCGCTAGTACTGACCGCTTCAATTAGCAACTTTTAAATGTTCTTCAAGAGGCTTCTGTTTCTCCCACAAAACCAAATGACAGAAGATGCTCTCTGGATAACGACAAGTGTAATAATAAACCAAGGAGATGTATCATTTTGATTAATATAATCCTAACAGTGAATGGAGTAGATTGTTCATTTTGTGTTCAGATGGTCTTATTTCTTTTTCTTTTTTTACATTTTAAATTTAGAAAGTTTATAGTACTAAGGAATTGACTAGTATGCCAATTAAAGGGGTCATATGATGCGATTTCAATTTTTCCTTTCTCTTTAGAGTGTTACAAGCTCTTGGTGCATAAAGAAGATCTGTAAAGTTACAAACACTAAAGTCTCAAAACCAAAGAGATATTCTTTATAAATGTTAAGAGTTAACCACGCCTACCTAAAACGGCTCGTTCTAACACACCCCCACATACCTACGTCACTATGTGGGAAGATTTGCATAACACCGCCCAAATGTTCACGCAAAGAAAAAAGGCGTAACTTTATGAGCTTTGTAAAAATCGACGCGTTTCAAAAAGGCGGGGCATAGAGGAGAAACAATAATGTACAGTATGTGGAAAATAATGTGTTTTTTGAACTTTAAACCGCATAAACACATTTCATTACACCAAATACACAAAATAATGTTCTTTTTAGCAGCATCATATGACCCCTTTAAAATCGGCAAAGGATGGAGCAATGGTTGCCCATTAGCTCATAGCAGTGTTTTTTAGCTTGTTAATTAAAACTAAAGTAAATATAGACATATTAGATGAAAAACTTAAACATAAATAAAAGTACTTTAGATATACATAAAGTACTTTAAGTACTAAAATTACTAAACCTAAAACTGAAATAAATATAAAGCTAAATAGAAATATTTAAAAAACAAATTCTAATTCAAATATAAAAAATATGAAATTATAACTATAGTATGTTTTATTATACTATAATAGTATATGAAGAATACTAAAATAACACATTTTTCCTTGTAAGGACAAGATGCTAACCTGAGGAAACTGGTATCATTCTTTCATTGCACAGGTGGTGGCAGCAAAGAATGAGAAAATCTAGTCTGGTTCTATGTGGAACTTAGTGGAAAAACCTTCTTTGTGTTAGCAACATGTAGGCCTATAGGTAACCAGTAGCATTTCTGGACTTCAGGGTCAACAAATGCTACTTCGCTTTAATCTGTTTGTGCACTCTTAAAACATGACCCTCATTCAGGTGATGTGGGTCTAATCTAGTAGAGCATCATGGTTTGAACTCAGTACAGGTTCCAGTCTTATAAGCGACACATACTGACGCTTATTACATAAGAACATCAGCCACTAATCTAAACGTTGTATTTCTGGATGGTAAACAGAAAGATGTGTGTATGAAGTTTGCAGCCAGGCAGCTGCAGAAACACGTCAGGAGCCCGAGCCGTAGCGTATCTCCCGCCTTTGGGTGAGGGATGGAGCTCTATGAATCATCACCTGCGTCCCATCCAGCGCATAGTTAGAATGCTTTCCCATTAGCCGCTGGTCATTTTTTTTGTACAGTGCTTGGTGCTGATCTTGCTACTTTCCTGAGTTTACATGTTCAAAAATGCTAACAGAGTCCTTGACTGACCTTCTAGAGCCTCATAGTATGTTAACTAAATGGTTGCGGCCAAATGCTTATGCAAGCAGTTTCGCTTAGTTTTGTGGCTTTAAGTCCATGGTTGCATCTGAAATCACACACTTCCCTACTATATAGTAGGCGAAAAACAATCAGTGAAAAGATGGTATGTTTAAATTCACAGTATTCATAAAACAGTAGGCGAAAAAGTACCTAGATGACCTACTATTTCCGGCGAGATTCTGAATTGCATATTTGATCCTATCCCATGAGGCTATGGGAGAATATTTATGAATGGCAATAATTCTGCGCAAAAATATTGATGCACTGCATAGATTTTTGGCCAATCAGATGCTCTCTAGAGTAGGAAAGTCCCTCCCCTGGGTTCCATGTAGGTATTTAAGGTATTTAAAATTGCAATGAACCTGAAGTAGTGACAGATCTTTTCTTCTGTATTGTGACATAATCAGAATGAAACAAATGATCAGAAAAGAAAAAATTAGGGTGGGGACTTGGTTCTATCAGGTTGTTGATTGGATGGAAGCACTACTAAATGCGAGCTTGAGGTCCATTGTAATTAAGGGGTGGAGTTTATGTAGATGAAGTGATTAAAGGTGGGGTATGTATTTTTTCAAAAACGCTTTAGAAAACTGAGTCGGGCCGAGTACCAAAACAAACTTGTAGCCAATCAGCAGTAAGGGGCGTGTCTACTCATGATGCGGAGGAGAGAGCGCTCAGTGCACAGGACGGACATTAGCCGAGCAACGACAGAAAGATAGAGAAGGCGGATAAAAAACAAAAGAGGAAAACGTCTGCGGAACAAAAGAAGGCTTATGATAAGGCAAGAAGTAGGACCTGTGTAAATATTGGATCAGCTTTCCAGCGCTGGAGAGAACTCAAGGAGCGGAAGGCCTGGTCGTTTTGGCAGACTGGCTTTAAAGGCAGGGTATGTGATTTTTCAAAAACGCTTTAGAAAACTGATTCGGGCCGAATAGCAAAACAAACTTTTAGCCAATCAGCAATAAGGGGCGTGTCTACTCGTGATGTGGAGGAGTGAGCTTTCAGTGCATGGGACGGACATTAGCCGAGCCGAGTGACAGATAGATAGAGATGGCGGATAAAAAACAAAAGAGGAAAACGTCTGCGGAACGGTAAGGCAAGAAGTAGGACCCGTGTAAATATCGGATCAGCTTTCCAGCGCTGGAGAGAACTCAAGGAGCAGAAGGCCTGCGATCGGATGCCGAGGTTGCTTTGTTTCTTCTCGATAGGTGAGTAACACCGTGTCTACACCGGACGCGATAGTTGTCGCTCCTTTTGTCGTGCCGCGCCACTCACGTCCGGTGTAGACACGGTGTAACATTGGTTTTGCTTTGTTTCACAGAACTAATCGTTGCCTGGGTTGCGTACGTATGTGTGGGGCGGAGTTATCAAAATAGGGGCGAGACCCTTTTGGGGTAGGGGCGTGTTTGTTTTGGTGATTTGAAATATCAACATTGGCTACCAGAAATCACTTACCCCACCTTTAAAGGAGTCCGATATGCATCACCAGAAAGAAGTCTGTTGTTTTACTAGAAGATTGAGTCGATTTTGATTAAAAAGGTCAATGTTTTTTTAGGACCTAGGTGAGTTAATCTGCGAACAAAAGCACTTAGATAAAGCCACAGGCACTGGAACTAATGTAAAAGCATTCATCTAAACAGAGTTTTTTTCACTGTCTCCAGGCTTCTCGGTCGATTGCTCACACCCCCAATTGGAATGCATTTATCTGTCATAACTCTTTGCTTCATATGTGTCCAATTAATGCATTTGACAACCCCCCTAAAGCAAGAAGAAAACAAGAAAAAACAAACACCAATAAAACTGTAATGATTCTTTTTCTCTTTCCCTCTCTTAACACTGTTTGGCTCCAAACGAACAACAAAGCTTTTCACGGCGGCCTACGTCATTTGGTTACATTAACTCTATGGTGGTTTTGATTGAATGCTTTCCTTGATTTTACTCTTTGAATTAAGCTATATTTGCATTACAGCCAGCAATTTTGGGTTTCTCTACATCCAAGTGTGCATATGCAGCTGCTTAATTTCGTCCTATTGCCTATATTGTGCCAGTGCTTCTACAAAGCATGAGAAATGAAGCTTGCTTCAATCATGTGCTTGGCTACGGTTCCAGATGAATTTGAACCATTCTTTTGTTTGTCATCTCATGAGAATATCACCCAAAAGTTTTATTCTGTTTTACTAAAAGCATTAAAGGGATAGTTCACCCAAAAATGAAAATGCTGTCATTAATTACTCACCCTCATGTCATTCCAAACCCGTAAGACCTTCGTTCATCTTCGGAAGACAAATGAAGATATTTTTGATGAAATATGAGAGCTCTCAGACCCTGCATAGACAGCAACGCAACTGTAATGTTCCCAGGTCCAGAAACATAGTAAGGACATCGGTAAAACAGTCCATGTGACATCAGTGGCTCAACTTCAGTTTTGCGAAGCTACGAGAATACTTTTTGAGCGCGCTCAAAAAGTATTCTCGTAGCTTTGCAAAACTGAAGTGGAGCCACTGATGTTACATGGACTGTTTTACCGATGTCCTTACTATGTTTCTGGACCTGGGAACATTACAGTTGCGTTGCTGTCTATGCAGGGTCTGAGAGCTCTCACATTTCATCAAAAATATCTTAATTCGGGTTCCCAAGATGACCAAAGGTCTTACGGATTTGGAACAACATGAGGGTGAGTAATTAATGACAGAATTTTCATTTTGGGGTGAACTAACCCTTTAACCATTGTTACAATTAGTTTACAGAAAACTAGCTAGCTGTTGCACAAATCAACTCTCCTGGGCCCTCATTTATCAACAGTGCGTAGAAAAGGTTCTATATTTTATCCTACGAATGAAATTTAGAATGTGCGTAAGTACAAGAAAATCCGTATTTATCAAACGTGCGCACGCAGTTCTTACGCACATGAGTAAGCAATCATTGTTGATAAATCCCACATGTG